CAAGGCAGAGGCATAACCACAGGTACACAAACAAATATGGATTGATATGCCTGTAAAGTCTTGAAAGGCAGAGGGAAAAGATAAAGGGAACCCACATTTCTCGTAGGACACAATAGAATGCTGTGGAATAAGACTTATATCTGTGTTATAAAGACAACTATCAGCCTTCAGGCACAAATCTTACTTTACATTAGCTTCATCTGCAGGCTGTCTCTGTTTTTCTTCCACTTTGGCAATGAGGACAAGGAGACCCAAGAGGAAAGTCTCTTTCTCCCCAGACACTCATCACCCAGAGAGAGAGAGAGAAAGCGAGAGAGAGAGAGCTCGTGGAAGGATCAATTTGTCTGCACAGGAAACTGTGTAATGTTAATCACAACTTTAATTTGGGCCGAATTAGCATTTTGATGAACTTGTGGGGCTGACTCATGTACTCTAAGCACCTTCAAAAGCAGCGCGCACAGAGGAAATGGCAGTGTGGTTAATTAACGCTCACACACAGCAGATGGGCTTCAGTGAAGGGCCTGGCAGAAAGAGACACAGAGAGCGAGAATTGATGGGAAAGAGTCACTGTTAATGGGAAAAATAGAACACAATATAAAATTTCCAGCCATCACTCTCCAGATAAAATGGCTGGTTCAAAACCGACAGCTAAAGAAAGCGGGGAGTACTAAAAAACATTTCAGTCTTTTAGGGAAAACAGAACACAAAGAGTCAGTAATAGCTTACAGAAGACACAACTGGCAAATCTTGGTCAAACATGCAGCCTGTTTACATATGCCCAACCGTTTCAATCTCGGAGCACAGAGTGTAACCCAACATGGTGCCTCAGTCTCATTGCTTTTCACTCGTTCTCTGAAATCTTTTGCTAACACATTTAGAATTGACTGTCAGGTTATTTTTCTATCTCCTCTCCGTCTCTTTAACATCTTGTTACCATACGTCCTCACTCCTGTTAGACGTGCACTTCTTCCCGGACTCTCCACACAGCTTTATGTCTCTCCCACACGTGTATAGACTCTATATGTCTTCCACCATTCTCACTCCCGATAAATACTGTATGATACAGTATGCATCTAATCAGGGTGTTTGAATCTGTACTGGCAGTGTGTTAGTCCGTGATGAAGTTATCTGTGAGGGTATAAAAGAGGAAATAGGAGAGAGAGGGGAAGTGGAGGAGAGGTTATAAATAGGTGGATCTCCATGGCAGCATAGGCCCACAGACAAACTAAACTACTGAAGACATGGGGAAGGCCGGGGCAAAATTTAAAACCTACAGAATGATTTTGCAGGTTTAAGCTCCGGTGTTTACTTCACATTATTGCAGATTATTTTCCAAAGTGAACCCTAATGGTTTTTTTTTTTATTTGTTTGCGACTTTTCAAAAAAATTAATGTTTTCAATATCCTGCAGATCTGCATAATTACCAACAATTTGCAGAGATTGAAACTTGAGTTGAGTGGTTATGTCACTGTTGTGTGGCAGTGTGTAGAGTTTGGAGCAGGAGCTGGACGGCAGCAACCTTTTAAGGTAAGAACTTTTTTTTTTTACTAAATTTGTGCTACACTATTCTCGATGTCCATGTTTGCTCTTTGTTTGTCTCCCGGGTTTGATTTAGTTCATGAACACAATGCGTTTTGGCAGATCTCACATCAGTTCTTGGGAAACAGTTCCGATGAAAAATGTACCTGGCGAGGTCTGAGTATTATCCTCAGTAACAAATAAAACATTTCTGTAACACGTGGCAGCTGTGACTGTGGCAATTCATTTTTGAAAGGTTTAAAGGGTTACTTCGTCAATTTCAAGCATCACATCTGGTTATAAGTGTAGGGCAGTACTACTGTGTATGCAAAAAAAAAAAAGAAAAAAAAGAAAAAAAAATTGCATTCAGCGATAAAGCTAATGCTAAATCAGTGAGTACTCTTTATAGCAGCAAAAAACAAAAAAAAAATTGAATTCCCCTGCATTCTCTTTAGTGGAAAAAAAAATCTGAGATGGAAATTGTAAGACTTCAAAATCTGAGGTTTCTGTTTTGTTTTTGCTTTTGTTTTTTTTTCCACCACAGCAAATTCATATTAACTACACTGTTACTGAAACTAGTGGATCAAGTGCTGAGTCTTGAAATATCAATCTATCTCCAGAGGTAAGTGAGAAGATGTTTGTTTCAAGGCCTATAGGTTTATGTAAGTGAGATCATAAAGAGTGTCCAGAGTGTCAGTATCAGGTCCCATCAGGAGAAATGATGCACCACGTTCCTCGCTGAGTACCACTGACAGTGTCTACCTTCATCCTCTCACCTCCTTCCCACCCTTTCCTCAAATCCTTTCCCTAAATAACCTTCACTAACCTGTGTGTGTGTGTGTGTGTGTGTGTGTGTGTGTGTGTGTGTGTTGGGGAGAATTTCAGGCCTGGCTTCCCACAGCGAAGAATGATTTGTTTAAAAAAAAAAAAAAAAAAAAAAAACACCATAAAAATGGAAAGACGAGTGAGACTCGGGTGGTGGGGAGGGAGGAGGGAGGGGTTGGAAGGACACCAAAGCGGGCTCCCCTGTTGTGACAGCCTGCGGTGGGGCATTAACAGGAGGTCCGGCAGGGTAAATCTTCTACCAGCCTCTCTGAGCGTATACCCTCGGAGAATTTCCCAATCCCTGACAGGCTGTCAGTCACTGCAGAGGGAGGGCACTGCTGAGAGGAAGCTGCTTTAAGCCTGATCTGCACGTACTGAATCTCCATTAAAGATTAGCTTTTTATGTGTAAGAAGGTTTTGTTTGGTTTTCACGTGGGAAAAAAAAGAGGTCTAGAGCACCAAAATGTGGCAAGAGCAATGATTGTTTCTTTCAAGAAAAATCAACAAGTTACATGAACAAACCATGGTGACCTCTGACCTGTGGGTGGCTCCTGTAAGAAACAGGAAGGGGAACGAGAGCCAGTGATGAGGGATTGGTCACAGACAGTGATGTGGGATAGATTGGAGAGCTTGTGTTCAGCTTCAAAGGCATCGCAGGAATACCTCCTCTGGAAACATCAGCTGTGAGGGATGCTGCAGCGTGTTGTGTTTGCTTTAAAGGCAGAATCAGAGACCAGTCAGTATGTGTGGGGGCTGCCCTTTAATTGCCAATGCGTCTGTCTGAAAGGGGAAAATAATAGAAAGGTATGGCCTTGTGGCGGTAATTTTTAGTCCAGTAGAAGCCACTTAGTTAGACACTCTCTCTCTATCTCTCTCCCTTTCTCCCTCCTTAACACACACACACACACACACACACACACACACACACACACACACACACACACACACACAAAGAAGAAGACAGGGAGAAATCTGTTCCCAGGCAGCAGGACAGTCTCAAATTATGGCAGGATGCAGCATCAATTTAAGGGCTAATTATGTGCGTAATGAGCTCACCGTCATGCGTCCGCGCCCCCGTCACCGCGCCCGCTGCTCTAACGCCCCCCCCCCACCCCCCACCTCCCACCTCCCCCACACACCCCTCTAAGCCCCCACACCCCACACACCCCTCCCTCCTCCTCCATCTGAGCGCCTGGTATCTAATTAAAAAACTACATGCGCCGCGGCGCTCTCATTTGATTCACACCATGGAAATTAATCCTCAGATAAACGTGTTTGACGGACACCAAACTATTGCATGAGCACTGGACGCGGCACATTGCTCTCTCAGTCGGGTGTAAACTGTTTTGCATTTGGCTTTAAAGCAAAAAACAAAACATAAAAACCAAAACACTTCCAATATAGCTCAAGACAAAACTGGTTAACTTGACTGGAGAGCAAATTTGGCAAGAGGGTAAATTAGAAATATCATCGAACACATGTGCAGGAAAATCATGCAAACTCAACCTCAACATTTTCATTTCGAATGTAAAAGTTTAAGCCTGAACACCTCTGGGCATGAAGCTCCGTTTCCAGTTTCTCCGTGTTTAAGCGCAACCAACAACAAACCCCTTAAATTTAGACGAGATTCTGAAGCTGAAAGGTTCTGAGTCCAGAGGAGGCGCAGTCCACCAGAAAACAAGTGAAAGATGTAGTGTCACCAAGGAATACAGGTGAACAGGTCCGTGTTTGGGTCAGCTGTGTGCAGTATGTACAAGATGTTAAGAGCTATGATGCTGAAAGGAGGATTTAAGGCCTATTTAACTAAGACTAGCAGCATGAGAAGAAAAACACTGAGACATTTTTTTATTTATTCCTCGGTTGTGTTTGTGGGTTTTTTGTTTTTTATGAGTAAAACCGTCAGTAAATCTGCACCTCTTCTGCTTATTTCACCAAATGATGTGTTGAATACTTGTTGAGCTGCGTTTTGACCAGTGGATGATGAAAAAAAACAACTTGTGTCATGATTCAAAATTTCTGGATTTATTTCATCTTTTCAGAGGGAATAAAAGCAATTCCACTGGAGAAGTCAACACTTATTTTCCATCTAAGTGTCCATAAGAAAACATATTAAATTAAAATAAACTGATGAAAATTGTTTGATGATTGTTTAATTTAACTGCGTAAATAAATGAATGTTTTTCTTTTTTCTGGAATAACAACTGCTTTAGTTTTAATCTGGATATCTTCTTTAAGTAATCAGCAGATGAAGGTCTTTAGAGCTTTGATTTAGTCTCTCACCTGCACATTTCCCTGCTACGCTATTTTATCCGGATTTTTATTTTTTTATTTATTTGAGCTTGATCCGTGATCTCCAGGGTAATGACAAAAAGACAACAAGATCACATCCAAGCTCACTCCGGGCACGGCCAAGTGTCGCTCATAGCCTACACCTTGCCGTACCAAATTGACGCCCACGGCAAGCGTCCAATCACCAAACGACTTTCAGCGATTCTATCCAATCAGAGCGGAGTGGGCACGCGGTGGGCGGGTCCCGTGCTGCTCCAGAGAGGGACGTTGAGATAGTTGAGGAGAGGAGGCTTGTTGGGCACGAATGCCACTCGTTGCGCGTCCTTATAATTTGGAGAGGTGTATGCAGCGCACGGCCCGTTCGCCTTTCCAGGTGGAAATCCAGGAGGAGCTGAGACCAAACTTAACTGGGACGACTGGTGAACCCGGTTCAGGACAGGTGAAATTCCCAGCAGGCTGCCTGGTAAAGGCCACAAGGATCGATTCTGATGTGGGAAAATACAGCGCGGGTAGGAATACTGCGAATGTATCTGTCTCAACAAGTCTGTCAACTCCTGCTGCATGTCAACAGTTAGATAGGTAGATTTTCGTATATAAAAAAAAAAAAAAAGTTTAGCGCGGTGATTTTATGTCACTGACGTTTTTTTTTTTTCCCCAACGCACGATTCAGGAATTGTGTTGGATCAAATGTCATTTCCTCCATACTGCAGCTCTGATCAGAAACATGATGCCTGCCTGAAAATCCTTCTTTCTTTTTTTTTTTTTTTAAATTCATTTGATTCCTGAAGGAGCAGAAACGCAGTGTGCAGATTTATTGTTTTTGTGGATTTAGACTAAACATTAAAGACGTGTAAAATGACTGTTAGCAGTGTGGCCTCCAGCAAAATCTATAGAGGGAAAATGTCTGAACAGTATAGGATGGGTTTGACTCATAAAATTAAAAAAGAAAATGAACATGAGCCACGCATGTATTTCTGATCTACAGCCTACGTCTGTATATCTTCACGACAGTAAATGATTGTGTGGGAATTGTCAGTGGTGTTGTTTCCTGTTGCACGTCGCCTGTGTTGTTGCTGCTGTAACTGTTGCTGTCTTGGTGGTGATGTTGTGAATAGTGTTGTTTTCATATTGCGGCCATTGTTGCAGCTTCTCGTCGTGATGCCGCTGCTAAAAGCCGAGCACACCCTGGCTCATATATATATTCATCAAATCAGACTTCTGCTTTCACTGATGACTGATGGGGAAAATCCATGTATATTCTATAGGCTATAGGCTCCAGAGTCAGCTGCCTCTGACATGCCGGTGTGTATCAGACACTTAGCTTACACATCCTGTCCGGTGTTGGTGTGAACGCAGGCCTCTGCACATCTAAATGCAACGGTGCTTTTTTCCTATACAGCAATAAAGCAGTTTTTGTGTGTGTGTGTCCTACAGGTCATGGATGAACACCAGCGGCTGCACCGAGGAGGTTAAACTTCAACCAGCTGAACGATCACTGACCAATCAGGAGTTACCAGGGATATTCACGCATTCTGGATTCAACTGTTTATTTTTATTTATTTTTTTAAAGAAGCTTTTTTTTTCCTTTTTTTTTTAATTGATAAAAAAATATATACAATGAAAAGGAGGCAAAGCGGAGAGGAATCAAACAAACAGCTGATTTGAATGAGCACCGCCGTGTCACACAAGAAGGGTATAGCTACAGTGAAAAGGCTCCGAGATGAAGGAGAAATCCAAAACGGCCGCAAGGACTAGACGGGAAAAGGAGAACAGTGAGTTTTACGAACTGGCCAAAATGTTGCCTCTACCGTCGGCCATCACCTCTCAGCTGGACAAAGCTTCGATCATAAGACTGACAACGAGTTACCTGAAGATGAGAATTGTTTTCCCTCAGGGTGAGCGATCAGCCCTCTCAAACAAAACACCTTCAACTTTTTTTTTCTCCTTTTTTTTTGTTGTTGAAAATTTTCCTTTCAGCTGTGGAGCCCACTTTAGAGAAATTACAGACTACCTTTTCATATTTATCTTTATTACTACGCCTATAATTAACGAAGTTGCAAAATATTGACGACCCACTTTGATCAACGTGTTTGCTGTGATCATAAGATCATAAAGTCGAGATTTTTAAACCACAGAAAATAAACAAAATTATAAGAAAAATTACAGCAGGTTATATGAAAGGCTAAAGTAGCCTATCATTTCCTTATAATATGCTAGGCTAATATCACAATATAAATATGTTTTAGTGGAGGCTCACACTCCGTAGATTAGTTTATATAAAATACCAATACTATGGTTAATAATAATTCAAGTCCCTTTAGCTCTGAACAATATTGTAGTGACGTTATGGGGAATTCAAAATAAAATGAAATGACATTTAGCAGCCTATATGTCACTACACCCGCGCTGAGGGCCCACAGGCTCACTTAAAGCCACACACAAATAGGCCTAAATAATATGATCGCGATTCCGGAGTCCTCACAAATGGATTATGATCGTTTTTAATTCAGTGTGTCCAAAGGAGGCGATCTGCCACCATCTTTTATACAGGTCTCTGCAGGCGTCTCTGACTGCGTGAGTGAGAACAAGATGTACCAATTATAAAAAAGGCACTGCAAGGCTTCTAATCACCTAAAGCCATGTAAGCAGGAGGCGCACACACACACACACACACACACGCACACACACACACAATCATACACAGCCTCTCTTGTAGAGGAAACAAATGCTAAAAATGATCTCCCATGAAATCAGATGATAAGCTCATGTTTTTGCTGCCATGTATACTTAATATAACAGACAGGCCATGACATGTAACATAAAACATTATCAAACAGACTAAATGAATATATATATATTTATACAGAGCGAGAGAGAAACATTTTTATCATTAATATTTGTAATATGTAGTATCATTCATCTTTTTATGTTAGTCCGCCATTGTCTCCATCCTCTCATCTGATGGCATGGTATTAGTCGACATGTCCGACAGCAGAGACCTGTTTTTATTTTCATCTACAGCAGGGGAGCGGAACACCTCATTTATAGACGATACTCAAGCTCCACAAGATTTCTGATGAAAATGAATGAATTTCAATGAGAAACACTGGCCACTCGTTGTGTTGCATTTACATTGGAAAAGAGCGACCAACAATCCAAAGATGGATATTTGATGTTGGGTTTTTTCTCATAGAAGACAACGACCATCACTTGCAATAGGCCAACAAAAATAAATAAATACAATTTTTAAAAAGCTAAACATAAATTATTATTATCAATAATAATGGTATTATGATTCATTGAAATTTCTATTAAAGTTACGTCATCTCTCCAGCCTATATTACACCAGTTATAAGAGGCACGTCGCCTGTAACTCATGTCTCCAGCTGGTCCAACATGTGAGAGACATGTGGGGACGCTGTAAATGCTTTAACACTATAATAGACTTTTTCTTTTCTTTTCTTTTTTTTTTTCTTTTTAAATCAGGCTCTCCTCTGGCTTGAGGTTGCGTGTGTCTGTGTCACACAGAGAGATAGAGACTTGCCTTTTTCAGAATGCTAATAATAAGAATACAATTAATAATAATAATAATAAATATAACAATAATAGATATAACAATAATAGTAATGTAAAATATAACAATAAAATATATAATAACAATAATAATGTAGATTTATGTAACAATACTGTATAACCAATAACTTAATACTGTATTATGTTTTTGCATTATTAATATAAATAAGAGCCAGCAGTCAGCAGCGTTGTCTCACTCTCTCCAGGTCTGGGTGAAGCTTGGGGTCACGCAAGTCGAACAAGATCTTTGGACAATATTGGACGAGAGCTGGGATCTCATTTGCTGCAGGTACATTAATAATTGTTTAAAAAACTATTATTGATCAGCTTCAGGGGGAAATGGTCGTCATGACGAATAATTTTCAGAGGTAGTAACAGTGGCCATGTGGTTTATTTACAGACGTTGGACGGATTCATCTTTGTTGTGGCTCCGGATGGGAAGATAATGTACATTTCAGAGACGGCGTCGGTCCATTTGGGACTGTCTCAGGTCCGTTTGTGCAATCACATTTATTTATTTCATATATATATATTTTTTCTTTCTGAGTGTCTGTTAGTCTGATAGCCTGTCCTTTAATACTAATTTAATACAACATCATGTTGATGGTTTCTAGGCAAAAAAAAAATAGCTTCAGGAAATCCTTACCTGGTAATTACCTGAGTTCATCTCAACAGGTAGAGTTGACTGGGAACAGTATTTATGAATATGTCCATCCTGCCGACCACGACGAGATGACAGCTGTCCTGACACCACATCAGCCCTATCACTCACACTTTGTCCAAGGTAAATTACATTTCCTTTCTGGAGCTCTCTCCATCGTACGTTTGCAATTTAATTACGACTCGTTGTGCCTAGAGCCAGCACGTGGCTAAAATAGATGTTAATGATGTTGCAATATATCAATGAAATATTTATGCATGTAATCTGCACCAGTGTGTGCGTCTTACATCGGCTAGAACTGCAAAACAGTTCCTGCAGAATGCATTTTGAATCAATTAAATCGCTTTATATTTTTACATGCATCTTTTTTATTTATTTATTTAACACTAATAATGCATTTATTTTGTAATCATTGCATATTATTATAAAACGCCTCCATGTTTGAAATAAACAAGTGCGCCATCGTGGTCTATGAGACTATGTATTTCAATATGCAGACAAATAGCGACAGCCTGCAGTTCTTTCCCCCACTCATGAGATTGGAGTTTATGATTGGACTCTTATTTAGCCTGTTATCGCTCAGTCACAAATATCTTCCCTGCAGAATATGAGGTGGAGCGTTCTTTCTTTCTGCGGATGAAATGTGTGCTGGCAAAAAGAAACGCAGGCCTCACCAGCGGCGGATACAAGGTAGACCAGGAAGTTTTGTCACCGACAAACCAGTGTTTAGTTAACGTTTTATTAATTAACAAAACAGTTAGATGCAATTCATTAATTCATTAATTTTAGTATAAAAATATCAGTCACTAGGCCTGTGTTTTATTTCTATCTAAGAAAAAAAAAAAGATTCCTGTGAGTCATTCTGTCATAAGGAATTCAGCACAGGAAGAATTGGAATATTGTTTAATGTTTATATAATATTTACAATAAATAAAATAACAATTCTATATTCCAGTTGATGGATATATAAATTATGCAGTTTGCTTCTACAGTGTTAATTTTGATTTACTACACCCTTTAGAAAAGGGGCATTTCATAATGTGTGTTATTGCTGTATGACAGGTGATCCACTGCAGTGGCTACCTGAAGATCCGTCAGTACAGTTTGGACATGTCACCTTTTGAGGGCTGCTACCAGAACGTGGGCTTGGTGGCTGTGGGACACTCTCTGCCACCCAGCGCCGTGACTGAGATCAAACTGCACAGTAACATGTTTATGTTCAGAGCCAGTCTGGACATGAAGCTCATCTTCCTGGACTCCAGGTAGACACAGATAAAAATATTTAAAAAAAATAATGCGTTTGTTAATGTAATGTTTGTTAAAAAAAGAAAAAAAGAAGCTCTGAAACACTGCTTTTTATCCCTGCAGGAATACAGGCAAATTTAAAACATCCTTGAATCGCAAAGTGTATTTTTAACATCGCTGCTTAATTCCCCTCCAGGGTAGCAGAGCTGACAGGTTACGAGCCCCAGGACCTGATAGAGAAAACTCTTTACCATCACGTCCACAGCTGTGACATCTTCCACCTCCGCTGTGCTCACCACCTCTGTGAGTTACAAGCCTTCTCTATTATGCTTTTTACAACAGACCCTAACTGCTCAGACAACCTGCTGCAGCCACCACGTGCTGACAATCACACTTACACACAAACATGCATGTCATTAAATACGGTAATCTCTGTTTTCTCTCCTGCTTCTTTTTATCTCCTTCAGTGCTGGTAAAAGGCCAAGTCACCACTAAGTATTATCGTTTCCTGGCCAAGCATGGTGGCTGGGTCTGGGTCCAGAGTTACGCCACAATTGTCCACAACAGCCGATCCTCGAGACCTCACTGCATCGTCAGCGTCAACTACGTCCTCACGTGAGTCTCAGTACAGATTTCCATCCCAAAAATCAGAGGAAAACTTTTCTAAAGAGAGCTACTCTTAAAAAACTAAAGTTATATGACGGATACTTCCTTGAGACAAATTCATACATATGAATCCGTTGTAATATTTTATGTAAATCATACATTTCAAATATTAAGTTATTACATTTATTGCATTTCATACTAAAATCCCTGAAATTACAGAATCATCATAACACACGGTTTACGAGGCAATACTGGTCTAAATGCAGCTGCATTTTTAATGGTGTTTGCTGAGGGAACAGCATTGAATATTTAACTAGATTAAGTAAAATCATATCATACACTCTTATGATCCATGCTCGAAGCTCACTCTATGATATGATGGGTCTTTGTCTCTCTGAGAAATCCCTCCCTTTATCCCTCTGCAGCCTCTCTGTACAAATCCACCAAAACACTGCGGCTACAGGGCTCAGGCAGTTGTGTGTCATGAGAGCACAAAGCACACTAAGGCCCTCTGAGACAGCAAGACAAACATCAAGGTTCAACCCCATCAAAAAACCCCTACTGTCACCATCGATCTGCAGTCTAAGGAAAGCTGAATCGATCAAACGGTGAACTAGGAATCAATAGCTATCTCATAGCTGTAGCACATGTTGGATTTTCCTTGTTAGGTCTGGTTGATCCAAATGTCGCTTTTCCTGTGTGTGTGTGTGTGTGTGTGTGTGTCTCCTTCGACGTGTGTGATGGTTTGTGTGTGTGAGTCTGTACGTGCATGCATGCATATGGCAGCACTCCAAGTATTGATTCTTTCAATGCAGTAAGGAGAAAACAAAGTAACTACATTAAAATGACAGTGAATTTCCAAACGTGTAATTAGGTTTAACACCGAAGTAAAAAATAGATGAATAAGAAAAAAACAACTACATTTAAAAAAAAAAAAGACAAGCCGCAATTCAATCACCTTGTCCCAGCAGCATTTTAACCCAACAATAATCCATTAATGAATCATGTTTGGAGGTTGGACTGGTGGCGCATTTCAGACATGAGGTGCTCTGACATTGACCCTGAGGTGGAATTCGGCTAACACAGCTGAGTTTGCACAAAGGCCCAACATTATTGGCTCAGACATAAGTCAGCTAGGGCACAGATAGGATGCAGAACCAGCCACCGCAACTATACCTGCAAGAGCAAATAACACTCACACTGTGTACTGGCTATCCAAACACAGCCTTTCCCCTAAGGTGTTGTACATAAAGAATGGGTCATATTTAGAGTCATATTAAAGAGGCTGGCTGTGCAGGGTCAGGGATGGGCCACAGGGTTTAAAATGCCAGGCAGCTGCTATTACATACTGTTGATGTGATAAGTTAAGAATAGGCTCATGTTTGCTGAACACTTGACACAGGAGCCTTTTCACTCCCTCGACAGTGTCACTTGGATTGAGTTCAGCCACAGGACAGTGGGTTAAAATGTCAAAAGATGGTGCACATGCTGCATGCACGTGCACAAATAAAAAGCATTCAAAGACTGATATTTTTTTGTAAGATGCTTGCAGAGGTGATTCAGTGCAGAGATAGTGTGCACATGCATGTGTCTGTGTGCACATTTACTCATGTTGCTTTCTGGCAATGGTTGTATGGCATGAAAGAATGATTAACTTTCCTCAGGTTGTCTGTTATTTTTCTCAGAAGTGGGGGGGAGCTTAATCTCTTTATCTTAAACGTTGTTTTCACTTCTCATAGTCCTCACATCATTCACATCATAAAAGTGGGTTTGTAAAATACGTCTGGCTATCTATATTCAATATTGGCCAAGACGTCTGCTGCAGACTAATTACTGATTATCTCGCACTACTACCACCAGGACTGTTGAAGAAAGAACGACGGCGCTCAGATTATATTGGGAAAAAAAAATGCTAAAAGGATTCAGACATTCTGAATTAACTGGGAAAACTGGAAGGTTAAAGGTGAACAAGTAAAAATATGGCCTCGCTTAACATCGTTCAAAGTGTCCTTGAGCAAGGCATGACCATCAATACTTACATGAAGCTGCTCAGTGACCTGCAGCAGACATAAAGCAATGTGAACCGAAACAGCAAAGCTAGCAGCTCTGTGAGGTTCTACTTAGCATAAACGCCAGCATGCTAACATGCTCACAACGACAATGCTATCATGCCAATCTTTAGCAGGTATAATGTGTACCACCATTTTATACGGGTGCTGTACCTTTAGCACACCTTACTCATCTTTAGCCAGTCAGCATGCTAACATTTGCTAATATGGCTTCACACAAAGTACAGGTTGTTGATGGGAATGTCATTAGTTTTGAAGGTATTTGGTCACTTTGAAATGTGAGAGGATCTTCAAAGTCAGTAGGGTTCATCATTTGGGGGACATGAGAATCTTTACAAAATTTAATGGCAATTCATCCAATTTTTGTTGAGATATTTTAGTCTGGACCAACATTGCTGGAAGGTTTTTTAGCCAGTGACGGCTAAAAAGTCACAACCTAGATAAATATAGGTTAAAATTTTTATTCTTATTTATAACATATATTTTGTTTGTGCCAAAAGGGACACAGAGTATAAGGGAATGCAGCTGTCCCTGGACCAAATGAGCCCCACCAAGCCAGCCTTCCCCTACACCGACAGTCACACTGAGGACAGGAAGAGCACTAAGTCACGTCTGACCCAGGCCAAGGCCAAGGCCAGAGTCTCACCCTACCCACAGGTAATAAACAGTATGGTTTGTAGAGCTAAATCAAGAAAAGAGACAAACTCTCTGAACCGTGATTTTTTTTGTTTCCATCCAGCAGTTTTCCGCTTTCAATCCAGAGCGTTCAGAGTCAGACCAAGACAGCCAATGGGGAGGAAGCCCTCTGACAGACTCAGCATCTCCTCAGCTGCTGGATCCCGGTGAGGCTGCAGAGGCATCTTGTGCCTACCGACTGTATCCAGACTCTGGCTCCCTGTGCTACAGCCTTGGTCTATCCGAAGAAGATCTCGCCCATGCCCAGGCACATCCTCACACCACCACCTGTGATCGCGTCCGGTGCCAGAGCGGCCGCTACTTCCTAGGAACCCCCCAGTCGGGAAGAGAGGTGTGGTGGGACGCCACGCGCTCCGTGCTCTCGCTGCCGAAATCCTCGGTGGAGAACAGCGAAGGCTACGAAATCACATCCTACCATGGAGCCATTCACGGTGAGGTGTTAGGGTTGAGACCACAACCATCTGTCTCTGAAAATAGCTCTGACCTAGCTTCTCCTGGTAGCTGTTTTCCAAATGTTATTATGGGACATGCTAAGTTGTTTACGCCGTCTCTTGCCAGTGTCCCGATTGCTACCATCTGTTCAAAAATTGCCTGAAACAGAAAGCCAAGTTATTTCACATTTCACATCCTCAAACAGTGAAGCAACCCCCACTGTGCTTCTGCCAAGACATTCCCTCTAACAGACCACGATTCTATATGCATTTAAAGCAGAATTACACATTACATGTACAAACTCATGGTTTTAGCAACTTAAATATAGATGAGAAGACAAGATACAGATCTTGTTCAGAGCTTTTTAACACACATTGTGAATCCCGGCAGAAGGGATTCAATTACTTATTAACACAGTGTAATTTATTTCTTTTCCTGTTTTGAAATGTGGCCTTTGCACTCTCCGTACAGGACGGGGCCACTGGGATGAAGACAGTGTAGTGAGTTCACCCGACGGAGGCGGGTCCACCAGTGATTCAGGAGAGCGTTATCACGGCGACCACTTCCGGGCAAGCCCTCGAGAGCCGAGCAAGATGGAGACCCTGATTCGTGCCACGCAGCAGATGATCAAAGAGGAAGAGAGCCGTCTGCAGCACAAGGCGCCGCTGGATGTCTCAGGGCTCACCAAGGCTCACAGCCCGTGCTTCAACTCGCTACCCCACCACTCACAGCTCACCATGCCCAGCGTGGTGTGTCGAGGCCCGGGGGCCCCCAGCATTGACCTCCCCTCCGAACGCCTCCATCACCGGGACGGCATCAAAGTGCTGGGCCCCCATGACAACGACGAAAACACAACCAGTCCTGCTTCTTTGTCTCGTCTCAGCAGCCCCAGCTCTGATGGGATCCCCAGGTCGGGCCTCTCTCTCACCAAAGACTACATGCAGACGGATCTGTCCCCCCACCCTTCACAGCCCCAGGGGAGCCCGCTGCTCTATCCAACCCAGGAGAGGCAGCAACTGGACAGGCAAGCAGCCTATGCTTTGACTGGGTACTCCCTGGAGCACCTCTACGACCCGGAGAACCTGCGGAGTTACTCGGGACTGGCCTGCGGAGGAGTCCAGTATGATGTGGCGTCTCATGTGAGGATGCAGGCTGAGCAGATGCAGGGACACAAGGCCACCTCAGTTATCATAACCAACGGGAGCTGACGATATCTGGTGCAGACAGATCCTGTTCTCTAAATGAGGATGTTACAGTATAAGGTGGTGCTGTATGCACATGCAACACTGGCCAGGTGCTTGATGGGAAAGGCGAGACAATGAAAAAAGAATGAAAGGTACCTGCACAGGGTTGATGTGCTCTCTCTGGCTCATCCAGCACAATTCTTGTCCGTCAGGCCTGTGTATCATAACACTCTCTTTCTCTATCATCACAGGACGATTTTCCAAGACACTAAAGGACTAACACTCAGTACACCACCCAGCACAGGGCGGAGGTTTTCTCCATTACATAGGAATACAGTGTTATTTTAATGTCAGTGAGCTGAATTCCCCTCCCTGCAAAGGCGACCCAAGTTTTGAGTCTGGTTAAACATCAAACCAGTGTTTCTGTTCCAAACGTCTTACGCATCATTGGCCATGTGAGTTAATCTGTCCTGGACACGATTTCCAAAGGCAGTAAGAAAATGTGTTGTTCCACTGCCCCTTCACCTGAAAACTCCATTGCACAGAGCATAATGTTTGACACATGAAGTGCAACATGGGAAAGGCGAGCAATTCGCTATTGTAAGATGTCAATGTTTCCTGGTATTTATTTGTCAGTGGGATATTTTCTGTATGTGTCATTTCTTTCTGTCCAAGTAGAAACTTTACTGGTGGCATTAAATTAGTTTTGGTGTTTGGATTGCACCAACATTAGATAAAAAAAAAAAAAAATCAAGTGGAAAAAACAGAAAGAAAAAAATATATCTGATATGTAAAAGTGTAAAATATGCAGGTCAACTTTAAACTCTTTTAATGTGTGTGTGACATGGCCTCACTTAGAGCGCAAAGAGAGATTACAAAACTCATTTGCAATCTTCCCATGGCCTCTAAATATAGGCATTGTATGTATCGACTTACAGTTGTGGCTGAAATGATATTGTTTACATATCAGAGTATAATTTTTCCTGTTTTTACCTCACCTAACCTTTACCCAACATATTAGCATATGTAGAGTATGCTTTAACACCCTTAAATTCTGCTCCACATGCAAAGAAAACTATTTGTTTTTTATCTTGTTTTGTCATGACAGCGTAAAGGGTTAAAATGATTGATACCAACTTATCTAAAATATGTTGAATGTTTTTAGTTTCTTATTTAATTTATGATGTAAATATCATCACTCAATGAACTTTTGGACAAGAAGTGACAAGATTATTTATTAGTTGGTTAAAAAGTCTCTTAAATCTGAATACAGTCGAAAATGAATAACTTTTGTCTGTGTTGATTTTTGTCCTACAGATGTTGCCATCAAAAATGTTTTGAATGACAGCACATACTGTTGCTACCCCCAGAAACTGCTCATTTAGACATACTATAGATATATGTCGGATGTGTGTTGTTCACCCATCATGAACATTTAGGGCAGGTTTGTACAATGCATTTTGAGATTTATAGATATAAATATAGTTTTACATTTATATACATATACACAGTCATTACGTGTCCAATCCAACACAGAAAAGACACAGCTATTTATTAAATATAAAAAAAAATCTAACATAATATAAAGGCTAGATGTAGGTTAAAAATAAATAAATATACAGTATAGACAACCTTTAAAGTTTAAGGCCATTTTTAAGTTTTTTTTTTTTTTTCTGAGTTTCATCTTAAATTATTTTGACAAAATAAAAGCATTGTTAAAAAATATTATTAAAAGACCAAAACTGACAATGTAAAGATGTCGATCTTTAAAACTAAGCCACAAATATATAGTTTCATTTTGGAAAAGGGCTAACTAATTTCTTCAAACTGCAGGGAACTGAAGTTTTAGCAAACATTACTCAAACAGGGGTAATAGTCCATTTGTTTGGGACTATTTTCAGCTGCGGATGAATACACATTTGGTGCGCTGAGAGCATTTATGGCACCAGGATGGTCTATTTTGGGATTAACTCCAACTACAGTGGCCATGGTCATTTTACTGAAGGAATATATGACCATCAATGCAACAAGTGTGACTCATTTATGTGTTTTTAACAGTTTATGAACAACAATGGAGCTCTATATAAATTATATCAGGCTTTAGATACACAAACAATACTTGTTAGGAACAATTCATTGTTGCTTTTGGTTATTTCATGGGACTTGTTGATATAAAAATATAGAATATCAAAAGCCTTATAGTAAAATTTTTAGATATACCTGGCAATAAGTGAATTAACAGAGGGCATTAGTACAAACCTCTAGTACAAGAAATTAGTGCAAATCATTACAACAGCAAACTGCTATGACTGCCGAGCTGTCACATTTTAAATGCACTTGCAGCAACACGTTCCCTCTGTTGGAGCAGTTGAACTCGCACATTTAGCTGCTCCGACCTCTGCTCGGAGGCAATTTCTCTGCCATGTATTTTAATGTATGTAAGTTATTCACATGTAGCTGGAGAACTGGCCTGCCTGCCTGTCTGAGCTGAGAGGGACCTGGACACAGTCTGGGCCTGGATGCAGAGCTCCCATCACTCACCACTGACATGGCCATGTGATGGTCTGCCAGATATCACTGCTGCTGCCATTCCAGGAGGTAGAACGCTCTGCTGTTGACATCAGCCATGGTTTAGGAAGGGTGTGTGTGTATGTGAGAGTGAATGAGTGTGGGTGAGTGTGTGTTTTTTGCTGAGATACTTCAATAATAAGAGGCCTATTTTTTTCTAAACACTGGGGGTTTTGCCTGATGTGCCCTGAAGGCTTTCACGTGTAGAGTCGGCTACAAATGCAGCCAAACACTGGGCCTTTTGCCCAGACTTTGCACACTTGCATACACCTCCCCACCCACATCTCCCGACCAGCCCCCCCCCCCCATTCCACCCAAGATCCTGTCAATCCTACCTCAGTCCTATAGAAAGAAACCGGCTATTACAGAGCCTCAGAGTCCGCAGGAAGCTGCAGAGTTGTGAGCCAGTAGAGGGGAAAATGAACAGTTTTCTCACAGATTTTGAGAGGAAAAAGAACATATAATTAAGAAAAGCAGAAGTGGAAGAAGTAATTAGATCGTTTACTCATGCAAAAGTAGCAAGACCACAATGTAAAAATATTGTGTCACAAGCAAAAGTCCTGCATCCAAAACTTGACTTGAGTAAAAGTATTTAAGCACTATCACTACAAAATAAAAGTAGTTCTGCAGGATGGCTATAGTTTCAGACAGTTTAATGTTGTAGCTGGTCAAGGTGGAGCTAACTGGAACTACTTTATATACTGCTGAGTTGTTTCATCTGTAAAAATCATCGTCTTTTATGAATTGATACTACATTTTGGATGCCAAATCTAAACTAATAAGGCTCCCTTTATACATTATATTTAGTGGTTCTATTAATGATTAATAAATGACTCACTGAAGCTTTGTAGATTCATATCCATGAATCTGAATAACTTTTGGGTCGCTAAGTTGTGAAATAACTCTGCAGAGTGTAAAGTAAAATCTAAACCTGTGAAGTGACTTGTGACAGTAGCTGTTAGACATAGTGGAATAGACAGTAGTAATTTGGGGAGTTGGGGAACACAGGAGAGACCTTTCTTAAAGAACAGCTGAGGTATATTTGTGTTTTTTCTTTTAGGAGTGATTCAAGAAGTTAGTGGAGGACAGCAGATATTGGGAAGAGAATCATTTCAATCAGGAATAAAACAAAGGATCGTATGATGTCACTGCATGAACAGATGTGTTATGTTAATCATTTCCTTACTCTCAGGAAGCAACCATAATGAACCACAGTGCTGCAAAATGAAAGCATCGGCAGTTAATTTTACTACTATGCTACTGAGTGAATCAGCTTTGTTTGCACCATAAGGCATTAGCAGTTAGAGGAGATAAAAGGTGGCTGGCTGTGTCGTGCAGTCGACTGAGAAAAACTATAGAACCGCAAGGGGTGTGATCCCAGGGTTTCACAACTGCAGTGAAGGAGAAATGGATCCTAACCTCGCAAACGACCACAGAATACAAGGGTGCAGGTGGCGAGGCTCAGAATATCCCCCGAACGTCTATGTGATTGATTTCAGGCCCGGGATTGAGGCACGACTGCATATTCATACATCAGTTGAAGTGTTCTTCCGCCAGTGCCTCTATAATTCAACCTGGCACTTAGTGAAGAGTCATCCTTATGGAGCAGCTTCAGACCGGCGCAGAGGAAAATGTTTCAACATGTTTTCTGTTCTATACGCACCTCTTTGAGCGTGAACTGACATTTTATAATTGTTTAATTCCGCTCACATCTTTTTTTTTTTTCTTTCTTTTTTTTTTTCCAGCCTCAAGTATTCAGCCAAGGAGCTGCAGCTTCTGGATGTGTTGCGCCAAAACACAACTACAAAAGTGTGAAATCAAGCAAATATCGTACACGGTGCATGGAAACATTCCCCATGCAGCAATAAAGCGCCAGTCAGCCGAGGGCAAAAGAGCTCAAGACCTGGGAAAATCATTCAACCATGGCACTTGGTGACACCTCAGCGGCAGAACTCACTGCACCAAAACACATTTAGATGTTCTGATCGGATGGACCAGGATATTGAGGTCATGTGGTCGATCTGATTGGCTGAGCCGGGAGACTGAGGGCATTTTTGCAAAGAAGGGAGGAAATAAGGTTTCTGCTGCTTATAAAACATGCAGTTAATTAACGCAATTTCATATATTTTAGGTCTTTCTCTTCAAATTTCACCGATTAGGATTAACAATTCATTTAATAAATCCCATGAAAAGACCAACACCAGCAATGTGTCACTCAGTACTTTCCGTCTTTCCCTGGCCTATGAGCGCCCTGAGGCTCCAAGCCTCATACAGAACGTAAATCTTTAAAAGCAGGTCACAAATATAATATTTGATCTTTAAAAAAGGGGAAGTCAAATCCTAAATCAGCTGGGCCTTAGCCTATAGTTTTTAGCAAACACAATTCTAACAGGTGAAACCAGTGAATTTATTGAGGACCACTTTCAGCTGTAGATTTCTTGTGCCAGTGAGTATTTATCATAGTTTTCATACATGGGATTCCTTGACAATAAGAAATACATAATACACAATATCATCAGACTTACCCTTTAAATAACATAGCAAACACAAATCTAAATGTTACTATTGTCCGTCATTGACACTGTTTGTTTTGTGTTATATAAAGTCACTGGCATGACCTAAATTTACCACATTTAATAAGTTGATTACTGTCAAAAATACAACCAACAACCGGTGACTGATGAATGTCCATCTCTGATAGCGTAAACAAAGCATTAATGGTTGGCTCGCTCAGGTGTGATGATTGTACTTGATGTTAGGATTAGACCAAATTCACTCTAATTTGCATGGCCAACAACTGAACCGTGTGAAAGCGCCTACATTGTTTTAAAGCCACAAAAACACTTAAACACTCAGGCCAGAAGAAATCCCACAAATTTAAGAATGAATTATTTTTTTGTAAGTTATCTTGATGGAACTTTGTGTTTTAAATCAAAATCATAGGGAAAGCATGATCATTTTTATAAAAGCGTAACAAAACCCCCTTAATTTAAAACTCACTAATCTCTCAGCAATAAGGCTATTAAAAAGACTACAAGTACAATATCCTGAGCCCCTGTCTCACACACACACACACACACACACACACACACACACACACACACACACACAGTGTCTACCACACACACACAACCAAGGCTCAGACAGTGTGAATCTAATGCCCTCCAATCCTGTGAATCCCTTTGTTCCTGATTTCACACTTGATTTGCCCACAGCTTGAGTCTGGCTGGTATCAGCGCTCTTCTCACTGCTTTCACTCCTGCCAAATCCACAGAGCCACACAGGATCCATGTCCCCTCTCTCTCTCTCCCTCTCTTTCTCTGTGCTCTCATCTGCCATTGTTCCTCCTAACATCTCTACGAAACGCTCTCTAACTCGTGCCAAAGAGTTTGTTTGTTTGTTTGTTTGTTTGATTGCATCTCACTCCATCTTACTGTAAACACCTCATCAATCTGCCAAAGATCAGATCAGAGTGAATTCTGACGCCGTCATGTTGAGTTTCACTTGATTTATGCTGTTGTTTGAGATAATTTCATCATGGTGATGTGTAAGCACAATAAGTCCACTGGATATATGTCTTTATCAAATGATTTCCTGTAGAGGTGGAGGGATAATCCCCTGGTGCATTGACAACCAAACCACATGCATGCTACAAATCGTCCATAAATCTTAAGATTGATTCAACACCTCTCATGAGAGGCCTTTCAGCCGCTCTGTTTTGAAATCTTCTGTCT